GCCTGACATGAGGGAAAGAAATGTGGCTAAAATTAAAATAATCTTCTGTATTGTGGCACCAGGAAAGGCAGAGCTTAAGGGAATGTTGTCTGGTGGGCTTTGGAGGTCCATGTTTCATGGACACAGCAGCTATGTGGGTCCATGGGAAGACCCCAACTTTCAGGTGACCTAAAACGTGGCTGAGCCCATTGTGGCTTTAGCCCATTGCTGRGCTGGCAGATCAAAATCTTTGAGTGCAAGTGTTTAAGGCCTGAGTTGGCACCACTTGGCCCTGGGTCCATGGTGCAGGGCAGGGAGAATCAGCTGCCATGTTGTGGGGTGGCATCTCCCTCCGGGCAGTGCTGTGGGGTCTGGCAGGGTCATCCCCGGCTCTCCAGGGTGGGACTGAGCAGGTAAAAGCTTATTGCAGTTCCCCTGGGTCAGCCCTGGGCTGTCGGCACAGTGAGGGGTGTCTGTGTGGACTGGGAGCCAACATGCTGGGCCTGCACCCCATGATGGCCCCTCAGGATGGGGGAGGYGGCTGCCTGAGAGACAAAGAGCTTTCATCTCCTCCCACCTCCAGAGTGAAAGACCTGGGTATTTAATACATTATTGCTTCTCTAAATTCACCCCTAGGTGCTTCCAAACAAGCTCTGTCCCAAGGCTTGCATGTTTAGGTCACCTCTTACATCTCTATGCCCACAACTCCATTTCTCCTTGCCTCACCCCAGCCTGCTGCAGGCACTGCTCTACCCCAGACTCAAACACTCCTTTGTACAGTGGAAAAAGGAGGGGACACAGGGCCCCAGTGGGCTGTGGGATCCCCCTGGGTTATGGGGTGCTGTACAGCCTGTCTCTGCCACAGGGAGTCAGAGGGTGTCCCCAGCACTGCCATCCGAGAAATCTCACTGCTGAAGGAGCTGAAGCACCCCAACATAGTCAGGTAAGACCTGGATGAACCCTTCTCACCAGCTCATCCATGAGCTCCTGCTCTGGGAGCAGACAGCAAGGGGATCTTTCTGTCCTTCCCCAGCTGCACAGGTAGGAGCATAATATACAGGAAAATGCAGGAATCATTGCACTTCCCTGGTTTTCAGCAATACCTCATGAGTGTGCCAATTCAGCCACACACTGCTGCTGTCCCATACTAGACTCTGCCTTTAAACTGTCTCTCTCTGCTCCRAAGGACTAACAGAGCAGAGGCATGTGTGGGAAGAGGCATGTTTGGGTATTTGCAGAGGTTTGGAGGAGATACTGAAGGGAGAGTCTGTACTTCTTTTACAGGCTCCTGGACGTCATACACAGCCAGAAGAAGCTCTATATAGTGTTTGAGTATCTGAATCAGGACCTGAAGAAGTACATGGATTCATGCCAAACTGGAGAGCTTCCTTTGAGCTTGGTCAAGGTATAGTGTGGAAGGAGTGCCAACAGGCAGGGCAGCTGAGAATATGTCCCTGCTGCCTAGTGCTGGGCAGAGCCAGCTCAGAGCTCCTGAGACTGGGCCTGGAAATTATTCCTCAGCCTCACAGATCTCAAACATTTCAGCTGGGAAACCTTACTGGCTATTGCTCAGTAACATTTATTTCCCAGCTGTTTCCAGGCTCTCCAGCCCTTCTTGCTGCAGAACAAAGGAGGGATCCATTGCTAATTGTCRTTGTAGGGAGTAATGGATGGGTGGAAGGGACTGACAGTGCCTGGATTAGAATCTCTCTGTCCCCCCACGGGGTGGGAGTGGCTTGTGTGCACCCCTGAGTAGTGGCCCATAAGCCTGATATTGCACTCTAGCAAGGGCTTTCTTCCYGTTCAGATCTATAAGTGATGCAAAGTGTGTTGGTTCACATGATCCAGAGCTCAAAGWGTTCTCATCATGGCCTTATCTGAAATCTCTTCTCTCCTTAGAACTACCTTTTCCAACTGCTGCAGGGCGTGAGCTTCTGCCACTCGCACAGGGTYATCCACAGGGACTTGAAGCCGCAGAACTTGCTCATTAACGAAGCAGGAGCAATCAAGCTGGCTGAYTTTGGACTGGCAAGAGCTTTCGGGGTTCCCCTACGCACATACACTCATGAGGTAGTGTTGGGGCTCCCTGAATGGGGTACACCATCCATAGTTGGTGAACAGCAACAGCAACAGAAGTTACTAATCCACAACAGAGGCACAGCCATGCCCAGGAATGTACTCTTAACCTCACCCGTAGCTAAGGGGTTCCTCATGTTCTCACAAGGTGTGCTATCTCTACTGTAGCTTGGCTGCACAGGATACATTTATTTGATCCAGACTGTGTTTTTAAAGAAGGTTATGTTAGTCCCAGCCTTGCTGACAYTAAAGTGTCTGTAAATTCAGCAAATTCGCTCTGATTTGTACAGTCTCTGCATTACAGCTGGGATGGGAAGATCCCACACCTCTGGTTTCATTCAGGGAAACCARGCATAGCCTAGTTGTTGGTTTCTTTCCAGGTGGTGACTCTGTGGTACCGAGCCCCTGAGATACTGCTGGGATGCAGATATTACTCAACCCCTGTGGATATCTGGAGCATTGGCTGCATCTTTGCAGAAATGGTAGGAGGGGTTCAAATGGTATCTGTTGTGAGCTGGAGGAGGCAGCTGCAGTGAGAAGGAGGGATGTGATGCAGAACATCTGTGGTACTGTGTTCCCTCCCTGTCCTGGGGTGTGCTTTATGGAGAGGCCACCCCAAGGGTTAGCTGGTCCTTATCTCAAAAGGAMATCTACCACCCTCAGAGGCCTGGCAGAAGTCTGCAGTTCCAAGTACATGGGAACATGATGCTCTCCTTGCAGTAATTTCAGCATTATTGCTGCAGCATTTTGATCCTGGGAGGAAATTACTCTCTTCCAGATGTCCCCTTGGTGAACTGCAGACAACTAGAATTCTTGTGGCATGAGAGAGTGTATCTCCTAGGGATTCATATGCCCCTTGGAAGAACTCTGGTTATTCCTGCAATATAATAGCACTTCCCCTCATTTCTAAAGTCCCCGAGTTGCAGAGAGGCAGGAGGGAGCTAGCTAAGAGTGGGTGTTAGGAAACTGGAGACAMAGAGAGGTTAGGGATTGGCAGAATGAGGGACAGCCCCAGGCATGGATCCATGGAGAAGAGCTGGAGACAAACAGTCAGACACCTGTGATGTGTCCAACTACTGCCTGGCAGAATTACTGCATTGTGACTGCCCTGCTCTGTGCAGTTGTTTGTACTTGCTGGGACAGAGAGTTGCTTGCAGTGGGAAATAGGACACACAACCGATGGAAAAGTGGCAATTGGCTTTTTCTTTTCTTCCCCYAGATGACCAGGAAGGCCCTGTTTCCAGGGGACTCTGAGATCGATCAGCTCTTCCAGATCTTTCGCACCCTGGGCACTCCCACCGAGGTGACCTGGCCTGGTGTGACCCAGCTGCCAGACTACAAGGGCAGCTTTCCCCGGTGGCCAAGGAAGGAGATGAAGGACATTGTTCCCAACTTAGATCGAGATGGGAGAGACTTACTGGCAGTGAGTGAGGGCTCAAAACAAGGCCTGGGGATAGACACAACCTTTTCAAACTGGGCTAGGAAAAGGGATTTTTGAGATTGAGTTACCTGGAAGTGTGTTAGCTGATCTGGGTCAAATGCTYACTTCTGCCATTGCAGAAGCACTGAATCATGGAATAGGGCTCAGGCCTACTCTGAGGAAGGTCTGTCACTGCAGGTTCCTCTAGAAACCACTGCAGTGGGAGTCAAGAAACTCCTTTAACATCCTCAGAGTAACTTCAATTGTGGGTGACTCCTGAAGCCCAGASAAGGAAAAAGGCAGGATCAGCATCTGCAACTGGGCCCAGCTGCAYGCAGGTGCAATCAGTCATTTATTTTTTAAAATCCTAAATTTGCTGGGTTTTTCTCTTGGCAGCAATTGCTCCTGTATGATCCCAGCAAGCGCATCTCAGCCAAAGCAGCCCTCAACCACCAGTACTTCCTCTGCAGAAACTCTGAGAGCCCTGAACARCGCCCTGTGCTGCGGAGAGACTGCAGATGAGAGAACTCAGCTCCCCTCAAGCTCTTGCATCTCCAGGTAGCACTGCAGATCTGGTTTGGGGCACCTGCAGATCCAGCAGGGGCCTGGCTGGAACCCAGGGTGTTGCTTCTCCTAAGGAGCCTGAAAAGGAACATTCTTGGCATTTARAGACTTTCAGTCTGTTGCTGGGGGAGTTTGGGTTACAGCCAGGAGAGCTGTTTTGTGGTCATGTGCCAAAGGGTAGGGCTAATTTATCGKCATAAACCACTGAAATGTAGAGAAGAGAGCATCTCTCAGAGGTTTGTTCTTGCWTTAGTGAGCTAAGGTCACACACAGTGATTTCTGTCTCCAGCACTGGAGCATCCCCAGGTCTGTTGGTGGCAGTTGTTAGCACCGGGGAAGAGGGGCACATGCCTTCTCAGCCCTTTGCTGCTGCTATCAGCCAGGTTTCTCAGCACTAACCAAGTTGTTTAGTCYGACATCCTGCCCTTTTACAAGCTGAAAAGCACTCAGGTGTCTTAGTTTGTGCCTTAGCTGGGACCAAGAAGCCAAAAGATCCATTTTGCATAAAGCAGATCCAGTTAGGATAAAGCACTTGCTGCATATGACTGGAAACGGGGAGCAGCTTTCCATCATCATTCCAGATATAATGCTGTTTCCTTTGCTTTATTTTCTTGGAAATGTTTTTGCTGTTCAAATGTTTGGGGGATTGTCTCTGACTCCTGCTGTGGTTTTGACATCTTCATTTATTTTTCTTTCAGTACATAATAAAATAAATACTTGTTATTTGTTCAGAAACCTGCTGTTTATTTTTTGGCAGAGCCAATTGGGCTTGTGACACAGGACAGCCTGGTTGGTCCTTATTTCCACAAAGCATTTTTCCCTTCCTCATCTCTTGCACTCTTTCTTTTACTCTTTCCAGCCCAAATCCTTGGCAGGTACAGAGATGTGCTCTCAATCCTGTTGTGGAACTAATACAAAAAGGGTTAATCAAATTTCTACTGTGTCTGTGTACTTTTAGCAAAGAAACAGGGTATGCAGGAGCTGCTTTCTCTTCAAGGACAGAAGGCAGATAAGGGGAAGACATCTGCCTTAGAAATGCAGCTACAGCCAAAACAAGACTATGGAAAAAATGAAACTGGGAACATGGGCAAGGTTTTATGATAATGAACAATTATAATATACACATGGTGACTGTATATAAGCAGCACACTTGTAGTGAATGGTGTGCATGCCAGGTGGAGCTTATTCCTGTGTACCARGCCTGTGATAACTTCTACTTAATGCTACATKGGYGTTAAGGARTTTTATTTTACCTGGGYTTTGGTGACTTTTSRTGAGTYMCTGGCCACCCAGATGGGATCTCGCCTCTRAGCCTCGGCGGATCCGCAGTCGACAGATCTCCAGCCATCACTGAGGGGTTCTTGGGGAGAACCTCGGCTTCAGACCGTCAGGGGCTYGAGGCAAGATCCCTGGGGTGAGTAAAGGCATCATTTAAATTGTTTGTGTTAGATTATTGACAAGGGGTACAAATCCTCTCAGAGAGTTACTGGTGAGAGTGTTCGAGTGGCCCAAAAGGGTTCAAGTCCCTGGGTAAGCTCACCGTCTGGGGCTTCGTGTGCCCCAGGCCTACTGGGGCTTCCAGTCCCCCAGGACTAGGGGGTTCGAGTTTCCCGAGGGGTTCCCCTAGAACAGGAAATAAAAGCAGTGTTATACCTGGCCGAGGAGAAGAAAATCAAGCTCATAACACCGGAGCCAAGACATTTCTATAGCACCTTTTGCTGTGGAGTTTGCTTAAATAATCTGAATTCTTTTTGGTCTCTGCGAGTGTACGCGTGAGTGGGTTTTGTGTTGATCACAAAATCAGCWCTGGGACGCCTGTGATATAAAGCTCGTTTGCTGAAAGAGCGTTGAAACATAGCGGTCTCTTGGGGTTTCTAAACAATCGGTGGGTGTTTGCTATCGATTATTGATTTGTTTTCTGCGTGCGYGGCTGAAATCACATTTGTGTACGCGAAGCGCCCTCTCGTGTGAGTGCCGCCGGATTCCCGGTGCGAGGGGGAGAGAGCGGGCAGAGGGGGCTCCCCAGTTGCAGCTCAGCCGTTCCCCTCGCCATCATCTTGCCTCGAGAGGGGGAAGAGAAAAGAAAAACCCAACAGACTCGCAGCACAGTAGCCCGACCCCGGCCCGGCGGGTTCTCGCCTACTCCAGTGCCAGGTGCCTGGGCAACGTCACCCCCTCCCACCCTGACACAGCCCAGAAACTTCCGCGGGGATTCCCTGCCCCAGGTAATCGTTGTATTCGCTTTCCAGCCGTTGTTATATACTGTTATTATTGATTATGGGGGCGGTCTGTTCTAAAACTAGACTGGGAAATGATATCCCGAATTCTCCGTTGAAATGCGTGCTGGACCACTGGGAAAAGGTAGCAGAGGACTCGCTACTTAAATCTAAACTAATCCAATATTGTAACCACTTGTGGCCACTGTATAAAYTGGACAATCAGGCTAAGTGGCCAGAGAACGGCACCTTAGATTATTACACTATGTTACAACTGAGGCTGTTTTGTAGAAGAGAGGAGAAGTGGAGTGAAATACCTTATGTAGATCTGTTCTTTTCTTTAAGAAACCATCTGGAATTGCAAAGGGGGTGCCTACCCCCCTACCCTCGCAGGTTAGCTTTAGAAAAAGAAGGGGACAAGGATAGGAGATTGAAGCGATGCTGTTCCTCTTGTAGTATCGGGCACCGCTGTTTGAAATGCCGTAACCGATGGGAGGAGGAGGAGGAGGAGGAGGAAGAGRATGTAGAAACGATAGAGGCACCGGATGCAGGAGATATAGGGATAGAGAGTCTGAGTGTGCCTGAAAAGGGGGAAGCACAAGACGAGGGTGAGCAGTTGGGAGGGAGGCAAGAGTTAATTTCAAATCCAGTGGTGGGGCAAACCCAGGACGAGCAGGAGGTGAGAAAGCAAGAGGGGGATAAGCAGGAGGTGGGAAAGCAGGAGGAGGATAAGCAGGAGGTGAGAAAGCAGGAGGGTGATAAGCAGGAGATGGGAAAGCAGGAGGGGGATAAGCAGGAGATGGGAAAGCAGGAGAGGGATAAACAGGAGGCCATAGCTCCGCTCTGGTCAGGGGCGGGATCTCGCAGCCTGATAGTGGTGAAGGTACCTTTCTCCCCAGTCGATCTTGAGGCATGGATGAGACTGGCAGGGCCCTACAGAGAAGATCCAGAGAGAGTATCTCGAGTATTTGAAACCATTCTCAAGACTCAGAACCCAGACTGGGGGCTTATACAAATTCTGTTAGATACTCTATTAGACTCTGCAGAAAGAGAGATGGTACTCAGGACTGCTAGGAAGGAGGTGGACAGGATAGGCACRGTAGGGATGTTACCAGGAACGGTGGAAGAGTATTTTCCCTCCCAGGACCCCCACTGGGACCCCAACACAAGGGAAGGGAGAGTTTTTCTGGGACAATATCAACAATGGATATTATTTGGCTTTAGACATGCAATGCCRAAGGCAGTCAATTGGTCTAAACTTTATGAGGTGAAACAAGGACCATATGAGACACCGACTGCATTTGTGGAACGCYTGAAGGCAACTGCCAGGAGATACACTAATATTGATCCGGAAAAACCAGAGGAAGCTGTMCAGCTGGCTTCCATTTTCATAGGGAACTCAGCACCAGATATTAGAAAGAAGTTAAAAAAGTTGGAGGGGGCAGACTCTCGTGACCTGGGAAAACTCTTACAAGTGTCCTGGATGGCTTTTAATAATAGGGGAGAAGAAGAAGAAAATAAAATCCGGGAGAGAGAAAAGGAGAGGGAGCAGAAAGAAAAGAAACGGGAAATGGAATGGGAGGAGAGAAAAAAGAAACGGGAAATGGAAAGGGAGGAGAGAGAAAAGAAAAGGGAGATGGAAAGGAAAAAAAGGGAAAGATGCAGGGATGCAATGCTGAGTGCAGCCCTGCAGAGAGCACTATTTAATCGCAGAGCGGAGGGCGGCTCTGCACAGGGCGGGTTGAAGCCGAATCAGTGCGCGTATTGTAAAGAACTCGGGCACTGGAAACGGGAATGTCCCAAAAACCTCAAAGAGTCGAAGGTAACAGAGCTACCCCTACATCAAGAATAACAGGAACCGGGGGTGAAAACCCCAGCGAAACCCCTGTTACAATAGAGCTGGGSAAAGGGAAAATTGACTTTTTAATAGACGCTGGGGCTGCTTATTCAGTATTAAATACAAATCTGGGGAAATTAAGCCAAGAAACTGTAAATGTTGATGGTGCATCAGGGAAAGCAGAAAAACGAACATTCTTTAACCCCMTTAACTTTAAATTTGGCAAACAGTGGATAACACACYGGTCTTTATATAYGSCTGAATGTCCAGTTMCTCTTTTAGGAAGAGACCTATTAAGTAAATTGGAGGCAGAGACTGTGTTTAAAGATGGAGAATTGCAATTATTGGTATCTGAGACTAATGCCATCGAGGCAAGGACTTTTATGTTGCAGGGAACAYCAGAACCAGACARTTCTGGAGGAATACCAGAAACCATAGAAAATGCGGTAAAAGACCCTTGATTTGGGCCAGTGGAACTCCAGGCCATTCCCAACAAGTTCAGCCTGTAAGCATTACCCGAAAATGTGGACCAAAACTGGTAAGGCAGAAACAATGTCTTTTAAATTAGAAGCTAGAAGGGGAATCAAGAGGCTTATTGAAAATTTAAGGCAATTTGGATTATTGATATAATGTGAGTCAGAATATAACACTCCTGTTTTGCCAGTTAAAAAAACTGGGATGAATAAGAGCAGGTTGGTACAGGACCTATGAGAAATCAATCAAATAGTGGATATCATAAACTATTTGATTGATTTTTCATAGGYCCTGTACAACCTGTTGTAGCGAAAYCCTATACCYTTATGGAATCCCTATACCCTTATGGAATATCATCAATGGCTTACAGTAACAGATCTGAAGGATGCCTTTTTTTGCATACCTCTCRATAAACAAAGTCAGGGCATTTTTGYCTTTGAATGGGAAAATCCTCAAACTGGCTGGAAGACTCATCTTACCTGGACTGTGTTACCAAAAGGGTTTAAAAATAGTCCAACAATTTTTGGGAACCACTGGCAAAAGAATTAGAGACCTGTTGAAAGGACAACCCCCAAGGACTGGTCCTGCTGTATGCTGACCACATCTTACTAACAACTGAAACTGAAAAGTGCGTGGAATTTACTCTCAGTTTTCTACATTTCCTAAGCCAAGGAGGCTACAAAGTATCTCAAGAAAAAGTTCAAATCATGAKGCAGCAAGTTACCTACCTAGGGCTTGAAATAATACCAGCCCAGYGGAAATTTGGAATGGACAGAAAAGAGGTCATCTGCCAAGTACCCCAATCTGCAGCTGCTGAGATCCAAGAGYCTTCTTGGGTATGGCTGGATGGTTCAGGTTGTGGGTTTTGAATTATGGACTTTTGGTCAAAGTGCATGAGCTTTTACAGGAGGCCCTAAAAGGACCTTTGATTTGGACTCCTGAGAGTGAACATGTGCTCATTCCTAACCTAAAGTTGGCCTTGATGTCTGCACCCACCTTAGGACTTCCAGACTTAGCAAAACCCTTTGAGGTTTCTATGCATGAACAACAGCACCTTACCCTTGGAGTTCTGGCTCGGAAGGCTGGAGACTTTAAGGGACCTGTGGAGTGCTTTTCAAAGGAACCTTTTCAAAGGTCAGCCAGAGATGGCCTGGACACCTSCAAGTTRTAACAGWGACTGCTCTCYTCATCCAAGAGGCCAGGAAGTTTACTTTGGGACAACAGATAGCAGTATACACTTCACACACTGTAATCACCATATTAAGCCAAAAAGGGGGGCACTGGCTTTCTCTGAGCTGTGTGTTGAAATATCAGACTCTTCTAGTGGAGCAAGAGGAGGAATTGAAAGTAACCACAGCAGTAAATCCAGCCCAAATTCTGAATACCACATGCAAGAAGAGCAGTTGACCCATGATTGCTTGTAGGCAATTGAGCAAGTTCATGCAAGCTGACCAGAGCCACAAGATGCATCTACTGAAGATTAGGAGTTCTTTACAGATGGAATAAGTTTGGTGCAAGATGGAAAATGAAGAGCTCACTGTGCAGTAGTCATGSCAGTCAAGGTAATAAAGCTGCACCACTGCCCACAAATACCTCAGCATAAAGGGAAAAACTCATAGTGCTATGAAGAGCCTTGGAATTGGCAGCAGGAAGAAGAGTAAACATAACGACTAACTCAAAATACGCTTTTAGCATGTTCATGCCTATGGAGCCATACAGGAGGAAAGAGGTCTATTCACAGCACAGAGATCTCTGAATAAATGTCCACAAGAAGAATTGTTCCTCCTCGATGCTGTCCAACTGCCCAAGGGAGAGGCTGCCCTACACTGCAGGGCACACCAGCTTGGGGATTCCCAAATTCATGTAAGAAACAGACTTGCAGATAAATCTGCATGAGAGATTGCACAACAAGGCATCCTRGCATTAATACCTGAGAAAACTGTTTCATTCCCAGAGGTTAGCCCTGGATATAGTCAAGCAGATTTAMAATTAGCYRCTTACCTRAAAGCCCAGAATAAAGAGGGTGGGTGGTAAGTCCCAATAACCAGATCATGGCCCTGCCACAACTGATGCTGCAAATTGTAAAAGAGAAACACCAGCAAACCCACTGGGGAATCAATGCTATGATGACAAGTCCACAGACTCAGATACTCAGTGTGTCCATGTGACAAAAATTGTCAGGTCTGCTACAGAAAAATGCCCGATATGTCTGAAAAATAATCCTTTGAATTCAAAAAGACTGCCTCCAGGGATCACTAAAAGAGGAAACACTCATGGGCATTACAGGCAAATTGGTTTTTCTGAGCTACCACAGTGACAAGGATACAGGTATCTCCTGATACTAGTGGATACCATTTCTGGGTGGCCACAAGCTTTGGGTTGCACTCAAAGATCTTGAAGGTCTCTTCCAACCCTAATGATTCTGTGATTCTGTGATTCTCCTGCCACACCAAAATGCCAGTGAAGTCACCAAAGTACTCCTCAAAGAGATCATTCCCAGGTTTGGAGTTCCTATAGGGATGTCACCTGATAGGGGACCCCATTTTAAATCTGAAGTGTTAAAGCAGCTTAGTCAGCAGTCAGGTGCAAGTTGAGATTTGCATACTCCACAGAGACCACAATCTAGAGAAAGGTTGAGTGAATGAATCAAACTTTAAAGAGACAAATTAGAGACAAAGTGTGTCAGGAAACTTTCTTAAAATTGCCACTGGTGTTACCACCAGCCTTGTTACAAGGTAGATTACAGTCCCAAACTAACCTGAGGGTGAATCCATATGGTTGTTGTTTGGGAGATTGTATTCTACTGTAACTTCCCCTAGGTCTGAGAAAATAAATGGGAATCAGGTAATAGAACAATATTTAATCTCATTAAGGAAATCTTTGATTGAACTAAAAAGGTTTATCTTCTCTCAGAGCCTCTTACCCTTGACACCCCAGTTCACTCATTCCAGCCTGGGCATCACCTCACCTCCAGCCCTGGACACCTGAGCCACTTCAGGAGCAGTGGAAAGGACCTTTTCTGGTTCTGTTGACTACAAGACCAGCTGTGAAAGTGAAAGAAATGAACTCCTGGATACATTGCACCTGAATTCAGCAAGCTCCTGACTCAGAGTGAGCAGCAGAAAACACCAGACCCCTGCAGCTACAAATGTTGAAGACATCTGTAAACAAGCAGCAAAATGTATAGACTAATCTCTATGGGCATTATTTTATCTTTGGGTGGAGGTGTTGAAGAAAAGTTAATATTGACTTTAATCCAAGAGTTTGGTAAAATGTACAATCTCTCCAGCATTCCAGCCTGCCTCCCTAACCCCGATTCAGCAGGGGAACCTATTCCTTGGGGAATTATCCCTTTTAATCTGTTAGTGGTGATTCTGACCTTACAAAACAGAATGGCCTTAGGTATATTGCTGTCCAAAGAACAAAAAGAGGAGTATTTGTGGGTATTTAGAATTGGTTAGACAACATTGTTGTGTACACATCCCAAATGCAACAGAAAATCTCCAAAGACAAAAAGATGCAATAAACTGCTAAGGATAGCAATGCTATCCAAAAGACCTCTGAAAGTAATTGGTTCAATAAAATTCTTCAAGGAATAGGAGGATGGTCCCTACAAGGATGGCTAGCTGGAATGCTGGAAACCATCATAATTGTGATTGTAGTTGTAATAATTATCAGCATTGCTATTGGTTGTGTTCAAAAAGTGATCTTTCATAAGATCAGTCATAATCTTATGGCAATACAGGTGACTGCAGATAGAAATTGAGTTGGAACTTATCAAATGGCCTTAAGGAATCTGAGATGTTTTAAAGGGGGAAGTTGATATCAAAAGGGTTAATCTAATTTTTACTCTGTGTGTAGTTTTAGCAAAGAAACAGGGTATGCAGGAGCTGCCTTCTCAGCAAGGAATATGGAATTCCTAAGACATCTGGTTTAGGAATGCAGCTACAGCCAAAACAAGGCTATAAAAAAATCCAAACCTGGGAGCGTGGGGAGGGTTTTATAGTAATTGATACTTAGAATATGCATGTAGTGACTGTATATAAACAATGTCCTTGTAGTGAATGGTGTGCACACTAGTTATAGCTTACCCTGTAATAAATGATGCCTCTTCTTAATGCTACATTGGTGTTAAAGGGTCTTATTTTACCCCATTTTTGGTGAATTTCAGTGACAGAACAAGGGGATGATGGTCCTGCAGACCAGTGATGTCTTAGGGTGGGCTTGCTTTCCATCAGAAGTTGCCACACAGTACTTCAGAGYTATGTTCTAATTATTTAAATACTCAAGAGACAGATCTAATTCATGAAAGCCAAACTTCTGCACTCCTGTTTTCCATGCACGTGTACACGTGCGCTCTCCTAGTAACTGCAATCCCAAAAACCAGTTTCAGCACAACCTGACAGCTCCCGCAGCTCACAGCCTCTGTGTGGTGACAGCCAGCTTGGAGGTGCACATTTGTGGCTGAATCCATGGAGACATGGATGAATTCTGCTGTGGGAATAATTTCCCTGCCTTTGCATACACATGGTAAAGTCAATGCTCTGCTGTTTGCTCTATGCAAACATTGCTCGTGTTGTACCAGACGAACTGTTTGCAGAAGAGTTTCATTTTCATTTTGTTTTTAAAACATCTGCAGTAAGGAATAAATAACAAGGATATTCATCCAGTCCAGAAACATAAACAAAAGCACTCGAACACACCTAGCCAAAATAAAATGAAGCAGCAGACTTAATTTTAAACATTTATTATCAACTCCACAGACAGCAAAGGGAACCAACAGCAGCTGTGTTGAAATAACTGCTCAGGGAAAGCCACAGTGCAGCACCATCACCCTGTGCCAGGGAAGGGAGGAAAAGTCCTGCCTGCCTCCTCCTGAGCCACTCACAATSCTGCCAGACAGCCAGGCTCTGGGGAGAGCCCAGTGGCTGAGTGGTGCTTCCTATGGACACATCAGGACATGGCACGAGCTACTTGTGCAGAGGAGGGGCACTGGGTAGCAAACAAAAGGATTTTTAGTGAGTGTTTTTCAGACTACACAAAACTGCTGATGAGCGTTCTCATCATCTCTTAAAACTTCACCCAATCCCAGTAAATCCCTCCCACCACGCAGTTAGGGAGCACGTTGTCCAAAGTGATTAACTGACTGCCTGATCACCAGAACTCCAAGTCTTGTGGTCAGAGTATTCCCCAAAACCATGAATCATCTCACAGAGTCAGGTGAGGAAGGCTGGGCAGAGCTGGGTTGCAGGAAAGGTAACAGCTCCATTGCTGATGGATCCTCCTTGCTTTCAGCAAGCCGAGGGGAGCAAAACCAGGGCACAGCAAAGCTGCTCCCAGACCTTGGAAGAGCTGGGGCCCGAGGATTCCTGGGGACTGCATTGCTCCAGGGTGCCTGGGTTGTGCTGGGCCAGGATCCTCACCTGGCCATGCTCCTGTGCTTCAAGGCCTGGTGGGCTGAGTTTATCTCATGGTCCAGGACAGCCCAGCTCCAGCCCTTGCTGCTGGTCCAGACCAGCAGTGTTTTACTGAGAGGAAGCAGGCTGGGAATGGATGCTCCATGCTGTGTGCAATGGTTTTCCCTGTTGTGAGCCAACAAATCATCCAGCATTGATCATGGCAGCTGAGATGGCCACGAACAGCAGCCACCAGGCAGAGACCCTGCAGAGCCTGGGACAKAGCCTGGGACAGAGCCTGGGCAGATCTGACTGGAAAACTGGAGTTTCGGATTGTAAATGCTGGGCACGAGCTACCAGCAGGAAGGTAATGGGAACTGGGTGTGCTGAGCCTGACAGAGTGGGAACAGTTTCTTCCTGGTGTCCAGACTTCAAATTCCAGCTAGGCTTTATGGAAACAGAGACTGTGCTGCTGCTCTGGTGGGCAGAGGAGGGGGKTTATTGGGGGTAGGTTGGAGTTCCTGAATAGCATCAGCTAAAAGAGAGGGGAAAGCAGAGCTGATGTCAATARAACGTAATTTTTCTCATCCCATAACAYCAGGGGATGCTCCACAATARGGCAGATACTAGGGAAGAGCATCTAGGATATGAGGCTGSCTTGCTTCAGGAAGGACTGAGTGGWGGAAGTTACACAGAGAAGTAACTTYTAGYTCACCTAAAGAAACAGCAAGTGCTGATTTTCTGGTACTGTTGGGTGGGACTGCACCCCCTTGGAATTCAAGTCCTTCTTTCAGAGGTGTCCGAATGACCGGGAAGCAAAGTCCCCTTGGTTTTCAATGATAAATATAACAAAATCTTTTAAAATATGGACTCACAGTCAGAAGGACATTTTAGGGGTTTCAGTGCTAGGAGATCAGGGAGAGCAAGAGTCTGCAAACCCTCTGTAGATTGGGCTGCAGGACATGGGATGGCATGGGGGAGGAGCAGCTGTGCCTTCAGCCACAGCCTGCAGAGACAACACAGCCAMAGACACTCACTTGCTATGTTTATTGCATGCAGAATCACCCAACTGGAAAACACTTTGGCTCTCCCCCTTTCTGGGCATAACCACACTTAAACCCCCTGCCCCTGGAGTTCTCAGCATCAACCCCTCTTTGGGCTGAYTAGGGAACAGCACCCAGGGACTGTGGGATCCCCTCCATGGCAGGCCCGTGACCACGYTCCCTTCCTCGCAYGGCCGAGCTGTGTTGGGAAGCAGGTAGCTAAAAGAGAAGAGTAGGCAGTCCTAAATGCTAGATGCTCCGTTCCTGTGAGCCCACTGCCTCCGTGGGGAGAGGTGTTCTGAAGGAATGAACTGAAGGAACCAGCCCCAGAATGTGCCTGAATCCACTCAATGCCTGAACCGYGAGAGCCTGGGGGAGCGGCTCGCCTGGTGGTACCGCTGATACCCCTCTGATGCGGCTGGGAGGAGCAGGAGGTGACTCAGAGAATCCTTCTGGCAGAGGGCCATGGCCTCCTTGTAGTTTATCTTCTCTTTAGAGACAGGGTCAATGAGATCCTTTTCATAGTTGGACTCATCCTGGAGCCTGTTGGCCAGGTTGCTCGTTATCATCCCTGTCTGGACAGCTTCCAGCACCGGGATGCGACCTGTTTTCTTGGGATCGATGAGCCCCCCAGTCAGATGCTGCACTTGCAGGTAGGGGAAAGCACTGTCCTTGGTCATCCAACCCTTCTGAACTGCTTCCCCCACAGACAGCCTTCGCTTGGTCACCGGGTCCTCGATGCCCGTGAAAGCTTTCTGGGCGTTGAGCAGTCTCTGCATGTAGGTCCTGTCGATCAGCCCCCTCTCAATTGCCTTATGGACCGAGAAGCGGTCCCGAGAAATGAGGTCTATGATGCCCCCCGTGGCAGCCTGGGCTTCCAGGAGCTTCTGAGCTGTCATGGGATCGAGCAGCTTCTTCGCAACGGCAGTTTTGATGTTGTACTTGGTGTCGGTGGTGGTGTCRTACACCCCGGCGATGGGGGATGTGTCATCAGAAATGCCCTTCTGCGGGGCTGGGGGGAAGAAGGTTTGGCTTTGGTGGGTGGTGGGGGATGTGAGYGGGGATTTGGAGATGATGGAGCCAATCGAGAGGGAGGAGGGAGGCTTGGTTTCCCCAGCCACCAGCAAGGCAAATTCTGAGATGGGAATCTTTCCATCCCGGTACAGCTGGTACTCCTCCTTTGTGATCCTCCTCAGCCTCAGCGCATCATCGATGGAATACTGCTTCCCRCTTTTCTTGTCAAGGAGAAGTGAGATCTCCCCATTTGGGCCCAGGGTKGTGACTTCTTCCCAGTCACACTCCAGCTCTTGCAGCTGGATGTACTGGCCTCTGTCTATGATACCTCGCTTGTAGGCCTCGTARGGGGACATGTCCTTCCCTGTGTCAGGGTCCAAGATGGAGATCTTGGTGGAGAGGTTCGTCTCTCTCATCTGGGTCTCATGATTGATTTCTTCACGGTTGACCTTTGACTGGAGGTCCCGAATGAACCTCTCCTTGTTGTAGATCTGGTCCTTCTCCCTCAGGATGTCTGCCTCCAGCAGGGAAAACTCATGCTCCAGCTGCTTCTTCTTCTGCCTGTCRTTCTCAGTCCGCTGGCTGAGCAGTTTGGATTCCTCCCGAAGGAAGAGGACTTTCTGCTGCTTCTGCCTCTCCAGCTCCYGCAGTTCACTCTCCAGGCTGGCTCTCTCCTGGATGGCCAGGTTCCTGGCTTTCTGCAGCTCTGTCTCTTCACGAGCCCATGTCCTCTTCATGCCTTCAGCTCTCTCRATCTTCTCCCGGAGCCTCCGTACCTCCTCTTCTGCCTTTTGCTTGGCTCCTCTCTCCCTGCTCAGCAGCTCCCAGATGCGTGCGCGTTCACTCTCCAGCGCTCTGTCCTTTTCCACACGAATCACCTCCTTGTAGATGGTTTTCTCCTGGGATTTGGTTTTCTGCAGGACATCAACTTGTACCTGCAGGTTCTTGCATTCTCTCTGCAAGCTCAGCACCTCCATCTTCTCCCTGTCCAGCTCCAAGCGCAGGTTGCTGGCAGACTGTTCCAGGACTGGATCCTTCTCCAGCTTGACCACTTCTTCCATAATGATCTTCTCTTGCACTGGGGCTGGGCTCTCCTCCAGCTCCTTTATTCTCAGCGTGATTTGTCTCATCTCCTTCTCCAGGGCAAGCCTCTTGCTTCGATCCTCCTGGAAGTTGAGCAGCTTCTCCTGCTCTTCCACCAGCACACGAACCTGCTGCACCTCGCGTTCCAGGCGACGCCTGTTGCTCACCTCCTCATCCAGACTCCGTCTCAGCCTGCTGTGCTCATCTCGGAGCTTGGGATCCTTTTGGGTCAGAATCACCTCTTGAACAACCACCTTCTCCTCCGGCTTCCGCCTCTCCAGCAGCATGTATTTATTCTGCAGGTCGTAGATGGCATCCTCTGCAGCTCTTCTTTTCTGGGACATGTTGCGCACCTCCTGACGCAGACGATCGGCTTCTTTTTCCAAGAGCGGATCGTTCTCGTATCGGATCACTTCCTTGTTGACCAGCTTGGTTTCCACCTTGGATCTCTCCCTCCTCCATTCATCCCTTTCACCCTGCAGCCTAATGAGCTGCTCTTGGGTCCTGCCGTTGGTGTTCACAAGTTCATTCAGTTGCTCTTTCAGCCTATCAATTTCTCTGAGAATCTCCGGGCTCTTCTCATGTTTCACCACCTCCTCRATGACCTCCTTGAACTCCACCTCTGGTTTCTGCGACCTGAGGACRTTGAGCTCTGCTAAGGCCTCTTCCACCTCACTGTCAATCTTTGTCCTTTTCAGAGTGACTTCCTGCAGTTCCCTTTTCAGGTGTGCAATCTGCCGCTCGGTTTCAGGGTCCACCATGAAGATCTCGTTGACCCTCTCTTTCACCTCTATCCTGGGTTTTTGCTTCTCTGCGATGCTGTACTGGCTCTGCAGCTCTCCCAACTCACTCGTAAGTGCCAAGTTTTTGCTCCTCTCTTCTTCAATCAGAGTTTTAAGCTTGGAAGTCTCTTTCAACAACTCCGGGTCCTGCTCTACCTGCTTCACCTCCTTCACAATAATTTTGGGTTCTGCTGTTTCAATCAGTCTTTCCACCTCTTCAATCTTGTTCTTCACTTTCACTATYGCTTCTTCTGCAGACTTTCTTTTGAAGGATTCCTCATCGATTTGTAACTGCAGGGTCCTGACAGACTTCAGCATTTCTGGGTTTTTCTCCAGTTTGATGAGCTCCTTCACCACCACTTTCTCTCGGATGTTGGGCTGCTTTCGCTCCAGCATGTGCAGCTCCCTCTTTTGCTGCTCAAGTTCAGAAGCAGCAGCCAAGCTTTCCTCCTGGAGACGTTTGATCTCCTGCCGAAGAGTGGCTGCTTGGCCATCCAGGCTTGGATCCTTCTCAATTTTTGTGATCTCTTTGGTGAGGAGCTGGGCAGGAGYGACCTTCTTCTCACTCTCCATCTGGGCAAGTTTACGGCTTATCACATCAATGTTTTCTTCCAGGCTCTGCCTCTTTTTGCCTTCCTCTTCAATCTGCTGTACCATCCTTGACAGGTTGCTCTCCACCTGTGGGTCCCTGCAGTATTCAATCACCTCCTTTTCTTCCACTCTTTCAATGGGCTTCTGAGTTTTCAGCATCAGTAGCTTGTTTCTGTGTTCCTCCAGGTCCTCTTCGATCCTGGCCGCTTTCCTTCTTTCCTCCTCCAGCTGTGATTTCAACCCCTCAGATTCCCTGCTTGTTGCGGCTTTGTTTTCAGATTTCTGGGTTTGCTCATGCACAGCTTCAATGTCCTCATGCACTTCCTTCTGCAAGGGAAAAACAAAAAAAAAAAATTAAAAAAAAAGGCAGGGAAACCAAGTCACTCTTTTAAGATGACTCAGAGATCTTTTAAATGACAGTGACAAAACTGGCAGAGAATCCCCCTTCAGATGAGGCTGTTTGTAAATGGAAAATGAGGACATAATTCCATCATCTCAAGCAACTGGCTTGGTGTGTCTTCCCCTTGAGGTGGAGGTGCTGCAGCAGCCCACAAAGGTGCTTTGTGCTGCCTTCTTGTATCTGTAGCCAAGGGAAAGCATCACAGCCAGTCCCCAGATTAATCTCTTGTCCTTCCTGASCCCACTAAAAGTCACCCAGTCCTGAGACCTTTCCTACTGGTTGTTCAAACCCTAGAAAAGTCTAAAAATCCTTCTGAAGTGCTTCCAGAAGGTTGTGGGCACCAAATTCCAGCCACACCCACAAACAAATCTGAAATTCTCAGTCTGTGAACATTGTGAACATCTTAGCTATAGATGAGAACTGCATTTAGAAGTCCTAATCTTGTTTCCCAAGCATGAACTACAGCTTCAGTAAGGAGCTGAGGGCCCATAGAGGTGATGAGAGTCACAACCCAAGATCAGTGTCAGCAAAACTGTGGTTTCTTGAGGTCTTTTTCTCAGAGGGGTTTCCATTCCTGTCCTTCCTCACACCTGGATGTGGAGCCCTGGGGAGGGGTGGGGGATCCCAGGCTGAGCAGATGTGAACCCCAATCTTGCAGTGAGCTGTGGGCTGCTACCTTGTCAACAACCTTCTTGGCAAACTCCAGCCGGCTGAGCTGCTGTTGATTTTCTGCTGCCAGCTCCATGTAGAGTTTGGTGACATCATTTTCCTGCAAAAGAAAAGGTGGTGAGAGCCTTGTCCCCTCACCCTGACACAGCTCTGTTRCATGGCAGAATCTGCCACACCTTCTTCTTTCACCAGGATGAGATTTGTGTGCTGCACAATTCCAGGGATTAAAGTCCTCACATTAATGATTCTCTAGAGAGAGAGAGTCTAAGGACTCATTCAGGAGATCCTGTCCCTGTTATTTGAATGCCTGCAGGCTTGCACATGGTCCAGACTTCCAAAATCACCTTGGGCCACACATGGATGGCAGGTGATGAACAGCCCAAGGTGATGCAGGAGAGCTGGGGTGTAACTGGGAAGAGCAGAGAGGAGTTCTGGCTCCTTCCTGCCCCCACACAGCTCCCCTATAAGTTCCATCTTCGTATACACTGTGGTGAGGAGGCAGCATCACCAATCTCAGCCAAGCTGCCAGGCACAGCCCTCTTTTGGGATCTCACATTCCCCTCTCCCCGTGGATGAAGGGATCCCTGAGGACTTCAACCCTGGGATTAGGACCATAATCAGCAGTGGCTGTTAAAGTAGATCAAGGCCTTGCAGAGGACATTGGGGCATGGTAAGGAGCTGGATGATGGTTTCCATGCCTTCATCTGAACATTTTACCTGGGCCTGGATGCTCTCCTGCAGGGGGGTCACGCGCAGCCTCTTTGCAGCAGAGTCTGTCAGGGAAGGATCCAGAGAAGAGCTGTACTTGCCTGCTTCGAGCTCATAGTCCTGTTCAGAGCAGAAACAGGAGAATCAGGTCAATCTCTTGGGGGAGATGTTAAGCGAGTGATACATGGGAAAAACAGGAAAACCCATCCTTACATTGAGTGTGGACTGCACGTTCTGGGACAGCCTGACCAGGGCGTTCTTCTCAGGTTCCTTGCTTTGGATCTCCTGCACCAGCCTCTGCAGGAGACACACTTGCTGTTAGGGTCACACTGAAACCCAGCTGCCCAGAAATACCCTTGCAGCCTAGAGAATCAGCTCAGCTGAGGGASTGGTGGGAACAGGAAGACATTTAGGAAGAGTCTCCAGGGTTTTCAGATATCTCAGCAGTGCAATCACTTGCCCAGGACTTGCCTCRCTGATTTATCACAAATGATGGAAATAACAGCCAACACAGAGACCTCCACAACTCATCATCTGAGCTAGCAAGCTTAGAATCTGCTCAAGGAGAGAAAAAYGCAGGACCCAGATGCAACATCTCAGCCCAAGGTGCAGTGTTTCAGCATCTGAAGTGTCCTCTCCACAGAGAGGATTTCAGCCTGGAGGTGACAGGAGAGGACACCAGCACTGTAGATAAACCCAGCAAGRTGAGATACACCAGATACACCATCTGTGGGCTGCAGTCCTTGTTCTGGTTCATTCCCTGGGATGGGGCAGCACCCAAAAAGGAGCTGTCTGGTACTATTTTGCATGYGCTGTTCACAAGCAAATTGCCCCATCCCTCAAAAGTTACAGACCATTCTTTCCCCGRACCACACCTTCTGTGCCTGCAGCTTGTAATTGATCTGGCTGGGCCCATCCGTGGTCTTCACTTGGTGCTTGGGTAGGTTGTTCATCCAAAACATCAGGTTCTCATTGGAGTTTTGGAACTGCTGGTAGCTGAGGCTGATATTTCTGAGGGTCTTCTCTCTGCACAGCACAGAGGTGGAAAGGAACATTAAGGGGAAGGGCAAAGATTCACGTGCAATTTCCTAGGAAGACATTAAGGTGAAATTGTCACCACAACAAACATCAAGATGACAAAAAACAAGGGGGTGACCACTGATAACTGAAATTCTGGGATCTCAAAGCCAGTGCTCCATGTGGGAAGGTGGCACTACACAGCAGGACACAGCTGGTCCTCAGTGTGACGGGACAGGGGTCAGGATCAGGTTCCTGCAATGAGGAACACACTCAAGGCTCTGACCCTTGCCTGTCCACCCCAGCCAAGAGGAGCAGAGATGACCCCACAGYCCCTCACCGCTGATCCAGCTGGTCAGCCACGGCGTGGTAGCGGTCATTGAGGAGCTGCACCTCCCGTTTCTGCCGGGGCAGGTCRGGGCAGTACTCCTGGAAGTTGTTCTGCACAGCACTGCAGCTGTGCTCGGCATCCTTGAGCGCCCGGTTCAGCTTCAGCACGCAGTCCTCCTGGGCCACCAGGTCCCTCCTCATCTTCTGCAGGGGGAAAAAGGCACCTCTGGGTTTCCAAGGGTCAGTGCAACACCCAAACCCCCTCCTTAAAGCTGCAGGAGCTGGGGGTTGGTCAGGCTCTCCATTGCAAGGTGGGAGAGGTGGAGCAGTGAGGTTTACTCAAAGCAAAGTGGGTTGGACTGTGCACGGAGAAGTTTTGGGGAAGGTGAATAATCAGGTCACTGTGGGTGCCGAGGATGGGGCAAGGAGATGAAGAGAGGGAAAGGTTARGGATGGGTGTGAGGCAGAGCAACAYYGATGAGCTGATAAGGRGGACATCCTGTATTTCAGGGACCCCAAAGGTAACCTGAGAGGGACAGAGTTGTGCTGCCCAGTGAGAGCAGCTCAGCCTGCAACACCAACATCAAACCTTCAAGGAACAAGTCCTTAAAAAAGTTTCATCATCAGCGCCTTGAGGTGCTGAAATCATCAAAGCCCAGCTCCTTCCACATTGCTCCCTGAGCTCGGGATCCCCCATCCTTAAGAAAAATCCTGATGCTCCCCTACCTGCAGGTCATTAGCCCGGTCCTGCAGGGCATTGGGGGATGCAGGAATGATGCTGTCCTGAGCCAGCTTGGCCTCAAATGTGCTGACAATCTTGTCTGTGTTCTCAATCTGAGTCTCCAGGTTCAGGGCAGCCTTAGCTCTGGGAAAAGGGAAAATGACAGGACAAGGTTAGCTACAGAAGAACCCAATCTTCTCATTTTCTCCCTGGTTTTGGATGTTTCACCTTACTATAAACCATGTCAGASAAGAGGCAATGTGCACTCACAGCCCTGTCATGCTGCTCACSAGTCAGATATGCTGCATTTCACCAMAGAGCAGAGCTGGGACACACACCCATTGCAGTGGATTCTCCACAGTGGGGGGATCTGACCACAAATTACTCACAGGAACTCCTTCAGAGATGCCTTTGATRATGGATGGGAGGTTTCCAACCTGTGCTGGACCTCAACCGACACCCAGAGAGATCAAAAGCATTTTCTGCCATGCTTCTGTGTTGAAATCTCCCTTCCCTCCTCCCCACCACTCACTTCTCGTTGTACAGGCTGGAGAGCATATTGACATCGTTGTATTTGCTCCTGAGGGTGTTGAGCGTGACAGGGAGCTGGGAAGCCGAGGTGCTGSTGGGTTTCTTGGAAAGGTAGGTCTCACACTCCTTCTGCAAGGCATCCTTGGCTGCCCCCAGGTTCTCAAGTTTCTTTGTTGTTTCCTGGCACAGCAGATGGAAGCAGAGTCACCCAACASAGTCATAAACAGCTCTGCTGTGGAAATGTGTCTCCCTCAGGGGTGGATTTGGCTGTGGGGCTCAGGGTGCGGTGCCCCTTGGGGCTCAGCCCCGTGCACACTGTGGCTGTCTGGCAGTGGCAGGGTGTGGGAAAGAGATCCAAACAGACAGAGATGGAAAAAACCTACCTGCCCGAGCCCATCCTGCTGCCAGGGCCAGAGAAATACCCACAGATGAAGATGTAACCAGCTGAAATACTGCAGACCCTGACATTATCCCAGAGGAAAGGAGGGGCTCCAGGGCACTGCCTCTTTTCCTGTCCCACTGACATTTACCAGTCTGTACTTTCCCATCAGCTGAGCCAAAGCTGGTCCTTCAATTAATTCCCTTTATTCCTTAGACTTTTTGTTACAGAYTGGAGAGTGCAGGATGACAGCATTGCCCTGACAGGCACCCGGATCACAGTTCTGAAATAAATGGACCCTCCTGCTCCAGAGCCAAGGGAAGGGCCTGCATTTCCTGAGGGTTTGATTCAGTCCCTTTTCAAGGGTTCAAACCCTTGAAYTGTGCTTCTCCTTTGAAGCACCACCTCTCATCTCCTGTGTTATTTCCTTGTCATCCTTTGGGCCAAGGACACAGCGCTGCAGCTCACCTGCTGCTGTTTGATCCTCCTGCCAAGGTCATCTGTAGGGTCACTGTAGTTCACAGGAGACCTCACTCGGTTCAGAACCTCCTTCTCCACCTGCACCAGGTCCTTGCCAACACGATCCARGCTGCTGAGGAGCCGGTCAGCCTGGGGATCATCCTGCACTGCTGGAGGGCTCCTGGACAGAGCTGCAATGAGACAGGCTTAGGTTAATCCCCAGGTTTTAGGTTTGCCATGGCGAGCCAAAGCTCAAGTCCAAAGGAGGGACAAAGGCAGGTGCTGCCATGTAGTCACATCCCTTCTCAGCTTTGCTGGGAGCCTTTGAACTACAGCTGTGGGAATAACACAGATAACCCAGGGTTGGGATTTAGCCACAGCCCCCAGCTAGGGAAGAGAACTGCAAAGCAGGTTTGGTAATTAAGGTTTCTGGATAGGCACATCCCACTGCAACCCTAAACAACCTGCAGCTGTTGATGGAGCTGGAGGTCAATCTCAGAGGCTTGAGAAGGGCAGCAGACTTTGAGTGAATTGCAGAGAGGAGTCAGGTTATCCTGTCAGCTGTTTGTGGAGGAGAGGACACCCTCCCTCTGCAGGTGCCTCTGCCCACCCTGGGTGCGTGCTCTGTTTCCAGGGCTCTGGAGAGGGCTGGACTGTCCAGCTGACAAACCTTGCTGGCTGGGCTGGACCTGCTCCTTCTGGCTGCGTCTCAGGCTGCTCTGAACCGCCGCTCGCTTCTGCTTCACCGTGTTCAGCTCCCCTTCCAGCCTGTGAGCAGAGAGGGGCATCAGCCAGGAAGGGACACAGAGCTGAGCAAGCCTTGACAGAGCCCTGCACAGCAGCACCTTCCAAAGACAAGGAAAGGTGTCCTCAAAGGCAAGGCAAGGTGTCCTCAAAGGCTGGGAGCCTGTAAATTGCTGCAAACCAGAGACATCCCTTAGGAAAGGGAACAGCAGCAAGAGCAGCTGGTTGGCTTGAACTCCTGAGTTCTTCCAATGGAGCCCATTGTTTCCAGCTCTCAGTAGAAGCTATCAAAGCTGGAAGTTTATTTCATATGGCTGCAGAGCTTTGCAGCCTTGCAGGAAGTGAGTACAAGTTGGCTGCTTCTGCAAAAGAAAGAACGAGTCTCACTTGTAAGGATGGTTCCTGCCTAGTGAAACTAGAGCTGGCATCTGTAGGAGCCGGAAGGCCAAAAAAATATTTCTGAGTGAGAAAAAGCTGATGGAACCAGAAGAAGGGGTAACAGGAAGGACCAGGTCAGGTCTCATCCTTGTTATGGACTTTTCCCGCTAAACACCACGTGCTAAAGCTTGCCTGGCTGCTGTTATCCCAGACAGAACTGAATTCCTGTCTTAAAACACGCATAAAACCCATAAATCTGAAGGATTAAATAATCTGGGATGTGCAAGGAGGGGGATACCCTGAGGAAGAACAACACAATGAAGCAATCGCTCCCACGGAACTAGGAACCCAAGCTCCCACCCCAGGCATGCCCACATAGCTCCGAGTCTGGGCTGTGGCCTTTCCACAGCCCTTGAGCAGCTCAGATTTCCCCAAACACCCGGGGCCCTGATWAAAGAGGCTCTGCCAACCTCCCTGCACCACCACCCCATCCTGTGGGAATGGCAGGAGCTGGCAGGCAGCAAACCCAGGCTCAGGGAGCACTTCCCAGTCTCCAGCTGGGGCTGGCTGAGAGCAGATACCACAGATAGCTCTGTCCTGTTTGGCAAGTCCCAAGCTCCAGACTGATTCGGCAATGAATTTAGTCAAACCTATGCRAGTCACATGTTTGGGTGAAGAAATCATGCCTGGCTGCCAGAAAACTTTGACACTGAGGTCTGTGCAGTATTCAGGGGTGCTGAGGAATGGCAGGCACTTGGATAARATAACTGGGTGCAGGAAAAATCCCACTCCAGGAGGGGCTGAGTGGCAGATGGTTGAGAGGCCTGACCCCAGCTGCTGTTTGTCTGCAGCCAAGGTAGCCAGGCTGGCTATGACCTGAGTGTCCCTCAGGGTCAGGATGTCTGCTACAGACTCACCTGTTGACCTTGTCGATGGACTCAGGGTCAGGAGGAGGGATGGAGAAACAAGCAGAAGGTGCCTCCTGGACCACACCAGTGCTGCTCTGCACCACCCACATCTCGGGGTTGCTGTTGTCCTTCAGGGTGTACTTGTCCCCTGTGGTCAGCTGCACCTGGGAGAGGACACAGAACCCAGAGAAAGGTTTGGCTTCCTGCCATTAGGAGAGTCCTTCCCACCACAGAGCCAAAATCTGGGGCAACCAGAGAAGAAGCCAGCTCTCTGTCTCTTGTGAGGGTGCTGCTAGCCCAGTCTCACCTCTCCAGCATCCCAGTCGCAGAGGGTGTCCAGGGTGAGGGGCTGGGAGGGATGTGTCCTGCGCAGTTTCAGAGGGCTGATCTCTTTGCTCCTTCTCTTCAGGTCAGTGATGCTCTTCTCTGCCTGCTTCAAGGCCTTCTCCTCACTCTACAAAAACAGGGGGACAGTGGTTTGGATGAAAAGGAAGGGGAGGGTCACACTACAGGGATTATGCTGGGATTGATTATCTGTCCCTGTGGGGTGAAGTTGGGAGTTTYTCCATTCTAGATCCATCCCTCCATGTCCCTTTTCATCATCAATGCTCTCCTCAGTTTCCTTTGCTCACAGCAGATCTGCTCTTGAGGACACAGCCCAAGTTACCTTAGGTGAACCCATGCTGTCATATCAAATATCCTGAGGAAGTTTTCCTTTTCAKAAATGGAACACAGATCTGCCAAGAGGTGGCTGAGTTCCAGTGTCAGAAAGCACCAAGATTCCAGCATCTCTCGAGAGCAAAACGTGTTGCATGCTCAGAAAGACACAGAAAGCTGAACATGTCCCCTCTCTCTCTCCRGGGCAAATGTTCCTTTCCTATCTGCATCTCACCCCTGAGGTCAGATTTCTTTATTCCTCCTTGCCCTTGACTCCTGAGAGTGGTGAGGAGATGGGAGGATCTCCTGCCCAGATGCCAGCAACTCACACTCTGCCTGGCCTCTAATCCCAGTGTTTTATGTTAAGAACAGCACATGGCTCCTCCCTGCACTTCTCCTTCACTCTGCCGGTGACCTGGGGCCTGGCTGTGTGTCMCTGAYGGGGACAGTGCCATCCCAGGGGTCGCTGCCTTGCAGTGTGAGCAGTGTGGATCTTCTGGGATGCAGGGACTCAGCACTTGGAGTTTCCATGGGCTCCCCCTCCCTGGCACAGAGCTGTCCCTGTAGGGGTATTCACCCACCTCCTCCCTTCCCCTCTGTCATTTATTGGGGAGTTTTWAACTTTGGGTTTACTCCCTGGGTCTGGCTGGTGCCAGCAGCCCTGAAGGGCTCACCTCCAGCTGAAGCAGCAGATCTGACACCACCCCAGGGCTGTCTTTGTTGTATTTGCTGTATTTGGTGTCCAGGTCAGAGCTCATCTTCTTCAGGGAGCGGCTCACAGCCTCAGCATCATCCTGGAACTGGAAGTGTGGGCAGGAAAACCATCAGGCATGGGGGGAATTACTGTCCTCAAGTCCAGGGGTGTCACTCAGTTCCCAGCACCTCCAAAAGATTTTGTTTCCCCAAAATACCTTGAGTAGGTACAAGAAAAGTGTTTCCCACACTCATCCCTCTGATCTCCCTGCTCCCAGCCTGCCCACTCTGGTCCATTAATTCCCTTTTTACCTTCTTGTAGTTCTCCACGCTTTTCAATTGGCTCTCCTGGCAAATGCAGAGGTTCAGGAAATTCTGCCACTCATTCTTCAAGGCTTCCTGGTGAGCCTGTGGTGGGACAGAGCACATCTCAGCGGGCTCCAKCTGGTCCTGCCTCCCTCACCACTGCTCTCCTTTCCCCAGAAGTTCCAGATATCAGAGAAAAAGCAGAGACAAAGCTGTGCCCAGGCACTGCCTGAGCAGGGACTCCCCTTGACAGGGACTGTAACATAACTGCAGGAGAGGTGAAGGGGTCTCTCTGATTCATTTCCTGGCTCTTGATGCACAGAAACTCTCTCATTCTCCCATGGGATTTGGGAAGAGATCCCCTCTCCCTACCTGGATGGGTTTGATGGCTGGGTGCTTCAGCTCAATCATCCTGTCCCCATCGTCCTGAAGGTGGTTCACAAACTCCTCCTGGCTGAGCAGCTCGTTGGACTTGAAATCCTGGAAAGGAAGAGAAACTTCCTGACCTTGGGAACATGCAGGGAGCATGGAGTGGTCTCCTTGGGCGCCCAACCCCAACATAACAGAGATAAGGCTCCCAAAACACAGATTTCTTTGCTTTTTCATGTGTTTTTTGAAACAGAAGGGGTTAGGCAGAGCTAAAACAAATTAGACACTCTTGGGTCTCAGAAAGCATCAGGGCATTTGCTCAAAGAGCATTTTCCTCAGCGATTATTCCTCTCATTTTCCTGGTCCAAACATGCAGCAGTCACTGAGTGTTGCACTGGTGTGGCCCTGAGCCCTTCCCCTCTCTCTGACCATGGAAACCCTCCCTGGCAGCTCTCCAATGTGTGACCCCAACAGTGCCAGCTCAGAGGGCTGGAGGGTCACACAGAGCAGCTCATCCCTAATTCCAGCCTGGACCCAGGGGGGTTTCAGAGAGCCCCACACTCAGGGCTGGTGGTGGATGTGCAGGGGGCTGGGGTGCAGCCTGCAGACCCCCCTTGGCTAACCTTTCACAGCTTTTCACAGCCTTTCACAGCTTTTCACAGCCTTTCAGGCCACACCACCACCCTGGGAGCTCACCTCGTACTCGCGGCGCACACTCTGGACATCCATCATCTGGTCACTCCAGTCCTGCTTCAGGATCTTGGTCTGCTGCTCTGTCAGGTAGCTCAGCTCCTTGGTGCAGCCCTGGAGGTGGTGGTACAGGCTGCCCAGGCTCTGCCCCCGCCAGATGGAAGCTTTCTGTCCATAGAGAGCACAGAGACAGCGTCAGCTCAGCCTGGTGAGTCCCCTTCCCCTCCTCCTCCTCCTCCTCCTCCTCCTCCTCTCCAGGACCACACTCCCATTGCACATCCAGCGGGAGATTCCCAGAGATCTCGGTGAGAATGTGCCACCGCTGCTCTTATCTGATGGGGCTGCTCTCCCCTTCCCTGCTCACAGACAGGATGTGTCTGTCTAACCAGACTCCCCGGTGTGGGCTGTGCCCGGGGCAGTCCCAGTTCTGTTTATTTCCCACAAAACCCATTTTTGGCATTAACCTTCATGAGCCCAGCTGGCTGAACCCAGGACCTTCTTCCTGGCCACCTCCTTTGCTCTGGCTGCTCATTTCCTCTCCAGAGCCCTTGTTTGGGATCAGGGCAAGCCTCCACATTTGCAACCCTGATTTGGAATAGTGTGTGGGCTGGGATGGATTTCCTGGTGCTTTCTGATCCCTGTGCTCAGGGACACAGAGGCAGCTGCAGATCCGTGACCCACGCTGGAGAGACGTGGATCTCACTCTCATTGCCCTGAGGGCAGCAAGAGTGCTCCTAATTTACACCCATCCCAAGGATGAGAGGAAATGGGGAAATGAYGTGAGGCACACAACTTCACTGTGCAAGCCCAGGGGTAGCTCCTGCCCTGAGCTGGACATTCCCTGCCTTTCAGGGATGGTGTTACTCTGCTGTAAGACCCCATTAGTCCAGAAAACCACCCAGAAGCTTACCAGCAAGTCCTTGTACTGGCTTTTTAAATCTGCCACGTCCTGGGTTGCAACACAGCCAAGACCAAGGAGGTGAAAACAAAATTAAAAAAAAAAGATAAAAAGAGGTGTTAGCAAAACAAGTGGTGGATGTTGATGAGCTGATCTATGGAATGTGATTTAGAAACCACACAGGAGCCGCCTCCCTGGCCCCCCATGCACAAGGAGGAGGAGCAGATGTGGCACAGGGTCAGGGTCCCAGTGAGGTGACACAGAGGACAGACGGAGCCTTACCCCGGAGCGGAGGTTCTTGATCTGCAGCCCGTAGGCCTCGATCTCCTTCTGCAGGATGTTGTGCTCGGCGATTTGCTTTTCCAGCTCCGACATGCCGGGGCCGTACTGCCCTGCAGTGACTTGTTTCTGTGCAAAAGGAGTCGGGGCAGGGACTGAAGCAAAAGGATTCATTTGGGGGAGAAACCCCAGGCACTGCTGGCAGGGCTTGAAGAGATCTGGTCTCTGACAGGAAGGGAGGGGGTTTTCTCCTTGTTTCCCATGATTGCTGTTGGTTGCCTTTCCCCAGCCAAAGATAACCAGGCCATGTAAACCTGGGGTGCAGACCTGAGCTGAAAGCCCCCTGCCCACGGTGATGTGCATTGGATGCACTGAATTATCATCCAGCTTTCAATGCAATCCAAACTGGCTCAAATCTGGGCACTCCACRTGCCCAAACCTTGTGGTGTGAAACCCTCAAAAGGCTGTAAAGTCCTAGGAGACACCACCTTCTCCATCCTTTCACCCCACAGAGGGTTCTCCACCTCATCCCCCTCTGGCAACTCTGAATCTGAAGGGGCTGGTCCAGAGGGTGCTCCAGAGTGGGGAGAAAAGTCCTTTTCCCATCCAGAGCCACTGAATGACTCCCACTACCCCCAACATCCCTGAGCATGCAATGGCTGGCACAGCCCTACAGACAACAGCAAACATTGCCTGGCCTGGTGAAGGTGGGAGATAAAATCCAAACCCAGCTGCTTTTACCATCTTTTGGTCCAGGATCCTGGCCCAGTCCACCCTGGGCCCCACCTCGGGCACGTGGAGCTGCTCGTAGAGGGCGCGGTACTCGGCGCAGAGCTGCGTCACACGCTCGTGGAGCTGCTGGATGCTGCAGGGGGAAAGGCACAGGTCCCTGTGTCAGTGGGGGAGCAGGAGAACCAAGAGGGGCTTTGTGGAGCCCAGAATTCACTTGCAAGACCCAGAGCACTTTGCTGTCCCCCTGTGGCACTGAACTCCTTCAGCAGTGTCCAACCCTTGTCCCGCTATTCTCCATCTCTGGGGATATTTCAGGAATTACAGCCCAGGAGGAGGCTGCAGGGAGGTCAGAGCTGTGCCTGCCCTGTTGGGACACTCCCCTCCTGATTTCTGCATAAAAGGGCTGGAGCTGAAGGTGAGCAAAGCACCAGAAGGCAACTGCAGCTCTTCTCCCACTCCAGCAACCATGTCCGACCCTGTGCTTGCCCCAAATCAAAGGCATTTATTTTAGGAAAGGCAGAGGAAAGGGGGATTTGCCCTGAGAGGGGGTTACATTTGAGCTCTGCATTTTTTTGGTACCTTTTATAAGAGGTCCCAAAAGACTGGGGCCTCTTGGGCAACTGCTCTGGCAGCCAATATCTTTGCATACCAATATCTTCATTTTGAATTATTGAATACCATTATCTTTATAATATATTGGCAGAAAAGCTGATTTTAAGGCTAAACTCAGTGGGAAGAAGAGTGAAACCACCACTCATGGCAAGGATTGGAGTTCATTCTATATCCTGGGGGGTTCCCAGTTGCACCAGTCACTCCCCTGCACTCACTCTTTCTCTATCTCAGGAGCCTGTGGGTGTTTCAGCCTCTTGGCACGGTCCACGTCCAGGAAGAGATCCTTCAGCAGGGTCTCAGCCTCCTTCAGGTTCCTGGCATTCTCTGTCTGGAACTCAAAAGCCTTGTTCTTCTGCTGGTTGCTGGAATCCTGGAGACCAGGGGAGACAGAAGAAAAAGCCTGGCTGGACCACAAAGACCTCACAACACTTCCCTTGGTCAGTGCAGAGGCTCTGGATCCTCCMCACACTGACCACAGAGGAATCCTGGAGCCCTGCCAGGGGCTGGGTGGGTCAGGCTGGCATCCTCTGAGCTTGCTGGGAGGCACAGAGCTGTGCTGCCTTGGCTGTGGGAAGCACAAAGCACCAGGATAGAATGGGATGCAGCCCCGGGATGCAGCCCCAGGGGTTGGGAGGCTCTGCAGGGCGTCTGTTCCTCCCCAGCCTCCAGTCAGCCCCCAAACCTGCACCAGCAGACACCTGACCTGCTGTCCCAGACTCTGCATTTCCAGGCGAAGCTTTTCACCCTCCCACCACCCTCGGCCATGACTGACCTGCTGGAGCTTGGACTGAGTCTCCAGGATGTCTTTTTCCACCTGGTCAGCGTTTGTCTGCATGCAGGAGATGAGCACGGCCAGCTCRTTTGTGGAGGACCTGAGAGAGGGGACAGCAGAGCAGGTGGGTGGGGAAAGCAAAGCTCAGCCACTCCATCAGCACCCAGGACCTGCCCCAGGTCCTGCAGGCTTTCCCCCATGCCCTCCTGGTCTCCAGGAAAGAGTCTGAGCTGTGGCCAAGGGCACAGATGGTCAGTGTCTGGCTCCTGCCTTCAGCCAAGAGAAGGCCAGAGCTCAGCCCTGAGCAGTTTGGGGTTTTGGGTTTTTGCACCCATCTGATGTGTTCATCTGAACAACTCCTTGCTGCAGGTGCTCAGGACCACATGTGTATTCAAAAAGCATCAGAGGGGAGAAAAAAAATAATAGAAAAAGGAACAAAACCTTCTGTAGGGTTCCCAAATGCACCAACACCACATCTGGGCTGGGAAGACCCAAAGCCAGAGATGGCTGGAGGCCGAGGAGCACCCTGCAGAGGCAGCACAACGTGCTCACCCTGTTTGGAGGATTCCCTGGGTGCCTGCCCTGGCTGCTGGCACAGGTGGCCCTTCAGCCCGAGCCAGAGCTGCCATCCTGTTCCATGTGCAGCTCTGCAGAGCTGGGCCCATTGGGACTCTGGAGAGCCCAGTGCCACCCTGGGATGGGCTGCAGAGGACACAGAGTTCCTGCACAGACCACAGGCCCCTCTGGGTGCTGTGCAGGCTGTTGCTGTTGTGTTTTCAGAGCTTGGGGAACAGCATGCAGCTGAGTTGGGGGAGGTTTAGGTTGGGTATCAGCAAAAGGTTTTTCACCCAGAGGGTGGCTGGGCAGTGGAACGGGGCAGTGGTCACAGCACTGAGCCTGTCTGAGCTCGAGGAGTGTTTGGACAATGCTCTCAGGCACAGGGTAAGGTTCTTGGGGTGTCCTGGGCAGGACCAGGAGCTGGACTCGATGATCCTGGTGGGTCCCTTCCAGCTCAGTTTATTTTGTGATCCTCATTTCCCAAGGCCATGGCACCCCAGTGAGGCTTCACCAAAGATCCCCACAGGCCATTCCCTATTGCTGTCACCTCAGTGCCACCACACAGCTGGCAGTGCCACCACAGCCCTTATCCCACCAGCACCCCGAGCCTGCTGAAACAGCCAGATCCAAACCCCACAGAAACAGCCGGATCCAAACCCCCCAGCCCGGCACGGGACGGTTCCCTGCGGACAAGGAAGCACAAACCTCGGTGCCACCTTTGTCCTCGTGTCCTGCTGTTTCTAACAGCATCTGCCCCTGAGGACAGAGCCGGCCCTGCCCTGCAGGCAGGGAGAGCWCAGCGCTGCCAGGATGTGGGCAGAGGCAGGAGGGTGTGGAGYGATAGCATCACAGGGGATGGAGCCCTCCCTCGGAATGCTGCTGATGGGACAAAGTTCAGCCCAGGCTCGGTGCCTGAGATCAAGAGGAAAGAGCTGGAGCAGCAGCAGTGGGGCATGGCTGGGGGCAGCTGGAGAGGGGTGTGAGAAAGGTGATGTCCTGCAGCAAAGCCACCACATTCACCCTTCAGCCAAGTGCTCTCCTTCCAAACCCCTGAATCCAGCAAAGGACGAGGAAATGATTCCCTGAATGGCTCTGTCCTTGCTCCAGCTCCTAATGGTGGYTCCAGCTGTTCCACAGCTCATTCCAAAGGCTGGAACAGCTGCTGGGACGTTCATTTATTACAGCCCCAAGTGACTGCAATGTGCCAGTGAGTGCTACACTCACCCCTAGCCAAGCWCTCGGGTGCCACAACTCCTGTTTGRAGTGACCTCAGCCCACASTGACCACAGCCCGAGTGACTGCAGGGGAGGCACAACCCCAGCACTCCTGGTCACAGCATCCTCCTGCCCCCTTTTCCCAGCTCCTYCTTGGTTTTCATTTCCCAAGCGTGGGCCTGCACAAAGCAGCTCTCAGCTGCCGCGGGGGTTTTGGGCTGGCAGCATCTCCCGGCCGTGCCTCAGCTTTGCTGCCTGGAATGCACATCAGCRAAACAGAAGGGGATTGCTGTGCCCTGGCAGAGCCCCTTCTGWTTGCAGGGATCACAGAGCCAAAGAGCCCCAGCAGTGCATTCATCGYCATCATCACCATCAAAGCATCACTGCCTGCTACAACCTGTGSTTTACATCCCGTTAATCATCCCTCCTACTCCATCCCTGCCCTTTCCTGGTGTAAACTGCGGGGCTSGGGCAGATGGATGCTGCTCCTGAGTGCCACGGGAGCAGCACAGAGGCAGGATTCTCTTCCCGGGAGCCCGAGCGAGCAGCGGGCAGGCAGCTCTCGGAGATCCCCCCTCCCCAGGAGCTTACACAATCTCCCACTCATCCCTGACACGCCTGGAATGAGGTGGTGTCCCATGAGCAAATACTTGAGCACCACCCAGATTTCCTGCCCGGGCTCTCGGTGCAGGGAGGAGATCGTGAGTCACGGGCTGTGCTGCGGTGCGGGGAACCGAACCTGTGCCCGGGGAACCGAGCCTGTGCCGGGGAACCGAACCTGTGCCGGGGAACCGAACCTGTGCCCGGGGAACCGAGCCTGTGCCCGGGGAACCGAACCTGTGCCGGGGGAACCGAGCCTGTGCCGGGGAACCGAGCCTGTGCC